ACTCCCTTCAGCTGCCCATTTTCTTGATGTCAACAAGCTGTCTTAGCCAGATTATAAAAAGACAGTTGCGTGATGGAAATAGGCTCAGACCAAGGTAATTCTGTTATTTGATTTGATTGTTTAATGTCAATAGGTTTTATAAAGACAGCATTGCATAGTGTTAAAGAGTGCTGGCTCACGTTAATGAAGGAAGTATATTGGACTGTGAAGAGTATGGGATCTGGAGCCAGTCTGCCTAGGATCAAAGCCCAGGTCCTTCACTTAATACTGGAGGATATGTCATATGTAGGTGTGTCCTCCACTTGGTATACCTTGCACAAGATACCTCGTGTTTCAGTTACTATGATCACTTAACAAATACCCTAAAACTTCATGACTCATGAGTCTGTGTGTCAGAAATTTGGACAAGACACAGCAGAGCCAGCTTGTCTCTTGTTTCACACCTTCTGGACTGTCCGTCAGCTGGATGACTTGGAGAGTGGGGACTGGAATCGTCTTCAGATGACTCATTCACTCACAGCTGATGCTGACTGCTGTCTGAGAGCAGAGCTAGTGTTGTTTGCCAGAGCACCTACGCATAATCTCTCCATGTGCCTGGATTCCTCACACCCTGGTTCCCAGGGTGAATGTCTCCAAACAGAGGGCCAGGCAGGAGTTATATGCTTTTTAAATAAACTTTTTTAATGAACTAGTTTTTTTTAAACTAGCTTTTTTTAAATAAAAATCTGGCCTGGGAAATCATGTAGTGTCATTTCCACCATGCTTGAGCTGGAGAAGCCGCAAATCTACCCAGGTTCGAGGGAAGGAGAAATAGACTATGCTTTTGATAAGGAGTGACAGGGTTCTGGAAGAACATGTGGGAATGAAAATATTTCTGTGGCTATTTTTAGAAAATACAATTTGCCTCACCTGACTTTTCTTTATCTTATCTTCTCTATCTGTAAACTGAGGATAATAATATAGCAACTGAGACACTTGTGCTGTCTCAGTTCTTTTCATTATATGTGGAATTCATAATTTAACATTCAAGTTCAGCCTTATTTCTAAGTTCTTGTCTACATATCACAAGGTGAAACATAAATTGTTGATATATGCTCTATAGGTTTGTCCAAAAAGAACCCACTTCTCTTTTTATAATTCCCTATTCTCCACTTCCCCAGTGGGAGAGGTAAAAGAGAAAGGGAAGAGCGAGAAAAATAAACTGAAAAAGGAGAAAATGTAGAAAAAGTCCAAGATGAAATCCATGGCTTAAAGAATAAGAAAGGTCAAGTGGAAAAATAATTGGATCTCATGAGGTAAAACCTGCCTTTATTTTTCAGCATTTTTGGTGACAGAGGAGGAAGCCAGGTCTTTCTTTAGCAACTGTTTCTCAATACTTTCGGGATCATGGACTAATTAGATAACCCAAGACAAATGCTGTGTACAGTTTCAAGGAGTTCACATACCTTGTGAAAGTCAGTGATGTACCCAGAGAAAGAACTCTTGCTAAGTCTGGACAACATGGTATGTCCTTGGACTAATGTTCAGTGCAAAAACATATTGTGTGAATTGTCTTTACATACTTCCTTAAAATCGTCACCTCTCAGGTAGTGTAGTATCAAATAACATCAATTGAATGTGCTTTATAACAAGTGCTTAGATTATCAATAGACGGTTTCGTAGAAGTGGACAAATAAAATGTGTGGCTCTAAAGTGCTAGGTATATGCATTTCCTAACCGATAGTCTGTGTAATCAGTCATTCATTTACTAAAAACCTGTGCACCCACTTATGTCAGCTCTTAGGGGTGAACAAAACAATGGCCTCGGCCCTCATGGAACGTATAATCTAACTTTTGTTCAGCCCTTTATAAACGTGATTTTCATTTTCTAATAAAATATTGGGATAAGAAGCTGTAATATCCCCCAAACATCAAAGGTTAACAAATAATTTGAGATAATAGAGAAAAAAATCGTCATCAAGCTAAGTATTTTCCTTTCTAAATTCTAGACAACATGGACACTATTAACAGGCATTCATATTCACAACATATTCTCTTTATCAGGCCTTATTCCCAAAGTTTCATTATCTTAATAATCATTAATAATAGGAATTGAATAAATACCAGGAAATCTGGCTTTAAGAGAGTGTTATATTTACTTGGAGCTTTGGGGTGAATTTAATACATATGGGAAAAAAACCCAAAAGTTCAGAATTCTACACTCTAATCATATATTTCTGTGATTTTTAATATAAATCTTTCCCACAAGATGACAAATTCTTGAGCTTCACCATTATGTATCAGAGCTTGGCATATAGTAGATACTAAATAAAAGTTTTGACTAAGTAACTGAATGAAAATGAACAAATGAATGGGTGAATGAAATAATATTGTAAACAACTCAGAATGCAGTTATTATAACCTACAGAGATTGCAATCAAACTTCTCTTTAACGGTTTTAGAAAAATATTTTTTTCAAGTTCATATTTAGCCAAGAGCTTGAGTGGAAAGATTCTACTGATAAGATCAGCTGGATTTGAATTTAAAAGCATGTGAAAGTCATCTTAGCTCTCTTATTAGTTTCTTCTCACCCTTTTATTGTATTACCAACCCCAACTTTTGTGCCCTTTATTAAATATCTTCTGCTGCTATCCTTTTATAAGCTGTTCAGTTCCAGCAGTGGTAGCATTATTTCCCCTGGACATATTTCCACCAATAATCGTCATTCCCTCTTTGTTTCATCTGCATGGTATAATCCTGTTGGTTCAAGGTAAACCAGCCAGAGTTGTGAGGTGGAACCACAGTTAAACATAAAAAACATTTTCAGTGTCAGGAGAATACCATTATTTAAAATTTTTAAAACTTAAACTTCACTGCACGTCTGAAGGTCATTGACTTTCAGGAATAGGTAGTAAATTGACAAATCCTTCTATACATTCATTACTGAGACATGATAATGTAAAATATCATTACTGATGTCACAATGTTTTGAAGATTCATTGCCATAACTACACAATTCAATTTCTTAGTATCTACACTAATTATGTTATATAAAACGGTGAGAACTGGTGTCATACAGAAATTGATAGTATTTGTATTTGGAAATAAAACTGCGTATTACATGGTGAGCAAAGCATAAAGTACCAAATATATCCCCAATTAAGTTTCATTAAATAAATTTAATACAAATCCCACATTTGTAGCACTCCTCTCAAATTTAATGTCTACAGTAGCCATCTAGGGTTTGAAAGAACTGTAATTGAGAAGTTGAATCTCTCAGGCATCAGAGTTGAGCTTTTGTTAAATCAAACAAACAGAGAACATCAAAATGATTCTTCCTCCTGCCTCCAGTAGAACATTTATCAAAGTTTCAAGTTAATCACTTGAAGACTTGATTTTAATATTAGTGTTAAGACATCAAAAAGAATTGTAACCATGTTTTCAAAAGTATCTCCACCAAGAAAAAATATTTATAGAGACTTTGTTATCCTACCAAAAGATAATTCTATACGATTTTCAGCAAATTTACTCTATGAAGCTTCTAAAATTTTGAGCTATTGTGCCAGAATTAGGACAAGGACATTTAAAATGGTTCCTCAGTTCATCATTTTGGCTTTTTGAAGAACAGCTATGACATAGTATTAATCATTAGGGATCAATATGGATACTAAGCTTTCATGAGAAATATGTTTGTTGACCTTCATAAATCTTCGTGTGTAAATACAGAAATATTTGTACAGGCAATTTTCTGCTGAATTTACATTTCCTCTATGCACACTCATCCCACAATATATTTTTTAACAACTTATACTAAAGGTTTGATGTGATGGCCATTTTCCCAAAGAGACATTTTTAATTGCATCACAATGGTTATGTTTATATCAAGTTATTTAATCATCATTATCATCATCATGATTAACCTGCATTTATGTGTTTTGGAAACTTTTTGCTACTATAAATGACGTTGTAATGAATAAAGCTTTTTGCTTATAATAAACTCCCATAAGATAAATTACTAGATTAGCAGGTTTGAAAATACTTAAGGCTGTTGATAAATTCCATATTTTACTAAGCAGCCAGGGAAAATTTTCTGTCCTAGAAAGGGTAAAAGAATCAGCAACTAAACCAAATTCACACATCTGATTTAAAATGATAGGTAGCCTCTAATTTTCAAATGGGTATTGTTGCAAAAGTTATATTCTAAGAGGTTTACACTAGATTTGACACATATTTACTTAGCCATGGGGGGGTGTCATAAAGTTCTCAACTGCTCACACAAACAGATTTAACTTTCATATATCTAAAGTATACTAGCAACAAATAATGGTTCTCTCTGGGTGCTTCTGTTGAGTTCCTTGCTCCATGTCTTTTTTTTTTTTTTTTTTTTTTTGGTGAGGAAGATTTGCCCTGAGCTAACATCTGTGCCAGTCTTCCTCCATTTTTTTGTATGTGAGTCACCACCACACCATAGCTGTTGGTCCACACCTGGGATCTGAACCCTTGAACCAGGGCCACCAAAGCGCAGTGCTGTGAACTTAACCACTACATTGCAGGGCCAGCCCTCTTGCTCCTTATCTTTTACTCTTCTCTATGTTTTGAGTGTTTTCTGTGAGTGCTACTACTCTGAACCTCTTGGAAATAGGATTGTAAACTCCCAAGTGTCTTCCACCTATTTGAGCACTGGGGCTTGGGGAAAGGAAAAGGGCGTGGAAAACTGGAAGAAGCCACCTGGGATGCTGAGGGGAACCTCCTAGGACTGTGTACTTCCCAAAGCATTACAGAGGGAACTCCGGGAAAGAGGAACAAAAGCCAGACAGACGCTCCTGATGCAATGTTCAAAAAATACCTGCATCAAGAAAGAAAATTATTAAATCCAAGGAGAATATTGGTGTCAGGGGAAACATCTTTTTGGGCTTATTGTTTTTTACAATATATAATAGTTTTACATAATTTAAGCAATGTAAAAAATCAAACAAATTAAAATGATTTTAATTAAATATATTACTATATTTATCTTCTAGAGAATGCAAGCTGATTCACTAGAAGAAAACCTACGTTTAGCTCAAGAGTATCAGAAATTACAGACTACTTTCTTAACGGAAAAGGACAATTATTTCAATCTATATGATAGACAGTTATCACTTGATGCTCCAATTAGAGATCAGAATCAGGTAGGTTTTTCTTATTTCTAAAAAATAGTGATTTACTTGACATATGGCCTACAAAAAGTAACAAGTGGTCAGTCATGGAGTCTCCAATCTGGTGGTGGACCTTTATATGCTACCAAATGGCATGTGGGGTTTTTTGGTAATGTTTTGTTGTATATTTTTATCAACGTTTTGAAATAGAATTTTGAAAGAATATTTGAGAAATGGAAAAACTCAGTTCTAATCCACTATTTTCTACTAATTTTATTTTAATTATTATAATCTGGGATACCAAATGTTTGTAGTTCATAGGTTTAAATATATTATCATGGGCTTCAAATTTTAATTCTGTCTATAGTGACTTCCCACAATACACTTCTAATTCTTTGTCATGATATATGGGCTCCAAATTTTGGGGTTTTATTTTCTTATTAGATAGGAGGCTTAGAAAGTTGGAAAAATAGTTGACCCTCTCTGGTTACTGGAAATCACCAAGAATTCTAATATATTCTGTAATGTCTTCTCTAATAATCGGTGAAAAAATAAAACACACAATATGCCACAAATCAAAAAGGAAAGAGAAAGCTCCATTACTAGATGGTTAAGATATAGCCTCTTCCTCTATATTCTTCTCCAGATACTCATTGACAAGAAAAATCATTTTCCTTTTAATCTTTTTTTCTTCCCAGAATATAAATTTCAGAAAATAGAGGCATGATTACTTTTTAATAATTCACCTATCCATAAGAACCAGTGGGCTGCTAATGGATCCTTTCTCCTATTTTTGTCACCCATACTACTGCACTAGAAATTAGTAGTTTAGAATTCCAGTACTATATTTATTCCTCATTATTATGGAATATGGGGAAGACAGAAAGCCAGGATTTGAGTGTAAGCTCTACCAACTACTAGCTTAGTGATCTTGGCAAGTTATTTACCTTTCCCACCTGAGTTTTCTCATTTGTAAAATAAGATTTACCTCAGAGGAAAATTGATAAGTAACAAAAAAGAAAAATCCATAGTTACTTTGAAAATAAAGGCATAGTATGCAATTGTCAGTAACTATTACATTTATCTGGTATGCTGCTTATAAACTCCCCTCTGTTTCCCATCCATCTACTCTCATGAGAGTTAAAGCTCTCAAATATATTGGAAGAGAGAGTGTATTTTTTCTTAAAATTTGTATGAAGTAATAGCAAGATGAAAGCATATGAAGCAATAAACGTGTTTTGGAAACTATTGAGAGTATAACTAAATGCCAAATCTTAGTGCCCTCAAACCCTTGTGCAGGATTCAAAGAAAGGTCATCAATGTCTCCAGGATGCATTTGTCCAATTGCTTCATGCATTTGACGTTGTTATAGAGGTTAAACATGTTCTATTTGTTGCTTACAGTTGAGGAGGAGAAAATAACCAATGGGGGTATTGTATTTCCTTTTCCAACCAGGAGGGAAACAAAGACAAATTTTATGTCTACTCTTTATCAGTTTGTATAGAATCCTTTGGTGTCAAATGACAACTATATTAGATATCTGCATAAATAGTGAAAAACGTATGCCTTTAAGAGAGATCTCTAACATAGTAATCCATAGCAAGAACAAAATGTCTTACTGTCTTGTCTTGATGTAATTTTTGGAATTAAAGCAAATTCTGATCAAGACCCAAGGAGTGAGGCCCTGGTATGAACAGACAGTGGAGCATGCTAGGAGATTGGGTTTATGTTTGCGATGATCCTTCAAACGAATCACTTTTAGCACACCTGTTTCAGGGAAACTTTCAAAGATTTATTCGTACTTCCAATCATTTTTCATTTCCATCCTTCAGCGGTGGAGGTCATTAAGTGCAGGCTGCCCTTGTCAGTGTCATGTAGGATCAATTTGCTGCAATGGACAGAGAGGCCTTATTGATGCTGTTAAATCTGTCAGTGAGAAATCGTATGTCATTAGCGTCTAATGCACTGCTTACAGGATGGAATTTGGCCATCAAAACTGAGAAAACCCTTTAATATTTTAGTCCATTTCCTTGATATTGCAGCATTTCCTGTATTTATAGGTTTTAGTCCTTTGGCCTGTTTAGTGTTTGGTACACAAAAGCACCATTCAACCTCTCGTCCCCTTGTTGAATTCCCTTATCGGATAAAATAGATCTCACTATTAGGAATTTTTTGTGTCTTTTCCCTGTTTTAGATTAATTTCATTGCTTCTGAACATACATTCCTTTTGGTGTGGTAAATAATTATATTTTAATTATTGTGCTTCTTAGGGAGTATTATTCTCTGTACACAAATTATATATTTTCATATCTCTCTGTATTTTAGGCCAAGGGTAGTAAAGAAAACTTAATGGAAGAGTAAAACAAATTAAATGTGAAAAATAATGTCCCCCTCCTTAACACAATTTTATATACAGATGCCTCACATGTTAGCACGTTATAGTATTACTCTTGATGATAAAATTGTCTGCTTCCTTTGCATGTGTTTCTTGCTATTGTCCTATACTTTTAAAATTTGCAGTGATGGATATTTCTCACTTTAAAAGTCAGAAACAAACAAAAATAGTCATGCAAAATTCTTATTTGCCTTGTTCTTGGGTAATGATAGAGTAGAATCCAGTCTAAAATTTCCCAGATTTCAAAATTTAAAACAACGCTAAAGAGGAATGAAGGAAAAATATCTGAAAAACAGGTTGTACTTCCAATTGAAAATAGACATTTTTGTTAAAAGCTTTCAAATATATTTTTCATGTTGTCTTTTTAAAAAAATCCATGAATATGTTGATAAAACCATCATATGTTTGTTTTAATTGCTATCTCAAGTTCTTCAGGCCTGCAGAGAAAGGTGAGCTAAGCGAGTATGCAAACGTTGATGTATTGTGTTGGCTGAAAACAAGGCTTCTTCCAAAACTGCTTAAAAAATATTTTTAACTCTTTTGTAAACCACTGGTAAAACTTAACCTTTACCTACCTCAATTCTTAGTGCTTTCAAACTAAGGGAATACAAATGATTACAGTATCAGTCAGTGCTTAACAAGCACTAATGTGGACCAGGGATCTGTGCCATGCAATTTGCAAATGTTGTCTTTGTAATGTTCCTCAGTAATCCTGGAAAATTTTCTATTATTATCATCGTTTCCAATGTAAGATATGAAACTGAGATTGCGTGTGTCACAAAGTCACTCAAGTAGAGGGAGATTGACTGAGATGAGAATCAAACGCAGGATTTTCTTACGTCCAACCCATTTCATAACCATGACACGCCCTTTCTACTCTAACATCATTGAACAATCCTATACGTGCCTTATCAAGTTTTATAAAGCTCGTAAAATCACATAAATTACACATTGTCTCTAGTGTCCAACGAAAAGAGATTCTTTGATTCACTAATTGTTTTTGTAATTTTATCTCATTGAAGCCACTTTTCAATGACGATCTTCTGGTGAGGAAAGAACTATCTATTTAATCAGAACCTATTTAATTTCCATAGGGATTATAGATAGGTTTTGCAACTCAAATTATAAAACTTTTCAACTAAGAAGAGCTTTAGAAATTTTACCTATCTCTTTAAAAGATTATTTTATAGATAAGGAAACTGAGGGCCAGAATAGCTCAGTGAAATAATACATATACAGTTATTAGAAGAAAGGTTGGCCTAGGACACAGTTGTCTTAACTTATGCTCAAATATTCTCTCCAACAGACTGTAGATAATCATGTGCTGTGATGTTTTTCAAGAGTTTGAGTGCACCAATAGCTGAGAAGTAGTAAAAGTAACTGCCAAGGAGATGCTTAGATTGGAGCATCATCTTTAAGTGACCTGGGCTTGTGAAGGAATCGTGTAGGGATATGAATCAGAAGACTACTCTGGAGATCTAAGGGACACTTCTGGGCCTTACAGAATCAGATATCATTCATTCACTCAATTATTCAAAATAAAGAATTAATCATCATTGTACTGACCAAGGTATAATACAGGGCCCAGGAATATGCACCTCATCTCAGCTTCCATGCTGAAGGCTGTGCTCCCCAGAGTCCAAGGGGGTGTTCCCTAGAACAGAGCATAGAATCAGAGCCCAACAACATCCTCTCTTCACCCCACCAAGGGAAGAATCATGGATTTTTGCTATTTAATCTGCATTGCCTAGGTCTCAATGGACAAAGTTTCCATCTTTTTTTTCTTTTTTTTCTTTTTTTAAACATTGGCCCTGAGCTAACATCTGTTGCCAATCTTTTTCTCTTCTTCTTCTTCTTCTCTCCAAACCTCCCCCAGTACATAGTTGTATATTCCAGTTGTAAGTCCTTCTGCCTGTGCCACATGAGACGCTGCCTCAGCGTGGCTTGATCAGCGTGCTGGGTCCATGCTCTGGATCCAAACTGACAAAACCCTGGGCGGCCAAAGCAGAGCATGCAAACTTAACCACTCGGCCACAGGGTGGCCTCCAAAGTTTCCATCTTAAGGGCTCAGAAATATTCTATCATCCATGGATTTCATTAGCATGTTTTCTCTTCCCTCTTTCAGTTTTCAAACATGAGTTTCCTCTAATACTCACTTTACATTTATTTGATGAGGAGTCAAAGTCATTTCTAGCATAAACAAAATTCTTTACCTAAAGAGATGTGAAAACTGTTTTATTCTCATTTTTATAAATATTTTGTATTGTTTGTTATCTTGCATATATTAGAATTAGACTTTGAGTGGTGCCTTTTGTGTGCTTGTTTCAGCGTAGATAGAAATTCATTTCTTCGCTAGGAAAATCATAATTTTTAAAATAACTTTTGCCTACAACCCCTACTTAAAAGCTCTGTCAATATCTCTGCCTCTCTTTCTTAGGACATACCTATCAGCGTGCACACACACATTTGTTCTAAAGGCGTTACCACACTTCACAGACTGATGAGCTTGCAGTAAATTCCTACTGCCCCCTTTCTCTAAAGAACTCTCAAGCACTCTCTGAAGAGCTTTTGTGATCTCTGAGACAGGAGTAGACAGCTGGTCATCTATTGTTTTATCCCAGTGGATTTCCCTTCTGTT